CGCCACCATACCGCTCACTTTAGTTTTGTTTTTTTCTTTATTTTAATATTTTCTGGCACTTTGAGTCACATTTCAATCTATTTTTGAAGATAAATTAAAAATAATAATACGTTTTGGGAGAATGGCAGACTCTGCGGCGACAAACAGTGACGGGGAGGACGGACCCAAACAGCCCGTGCGGGGCTTCGCGCGCCAGGGGGCTCTCCGGCAGAAGAACGTGCACGAGGTGAAGGACCACAAATTCATCGCGCGCTTCTTCAAACAGCCCACCTTCTGCAGCCACTGCACCGACTTCATCTGGTGAGCAGGAGTGTTTTCAGTTTTAGCATCACAATGAAAGCATGGGGCTTCATTCGAGGAGCTGTACAAGCGTCTACTGCGTTTGTGGCCGTGTGCGTGYTCTGTCGTGTTAGCAAAATATCTTATGATCTACTGACCCGATTTTAATGAAACAATCAGGAAGTGATCACTTAATGTACATCTACAAATGATTAACTTTTGGAGTCAATACAATTCAATATGGCCGTCACAGCCACCTGATTATAGAAAACACAAAAATGGCTGCAACTCAGTCAGTTTTGCAAATATTTAGGTAAAGTTTGGTGTGTTGGTAGCTGAGACCAATTGACAAAACATAGCTACATATCCTACATACAGATCCTTGCTTAAAACTTTGACATTAACTGTTGGCCTCAACCCCTTTTGTCTSTTTGCAAAGTATCTTTCACTGCATGGATTTGGATGGAAATCACAACAGAGAGTAATCATTGGATATACTGTACATTTACAGCTGAATGACTTCTTGAGTCAGTCTAATTCAAAATGGTCACCACAGCTAATTGACTTTATCCAAGTCAAAGGTGGMTATAACTCAGTTAGATTTRCTGATATTTAGGTAAGGTTTGATGTGGTAGTAGCTGAGAGTCATTCATAATAYATACTCTGAGCACTAACTGATCTCTCATTGCATGAGATTGTGCATAACTTCATTTTTCAAGTTTTGAGAGAAATGGCTACAACTCTGCCTCTTCTCATAACAAAATCTGCTCAGCCRTGAGGGTAGTGGGTGATAAGCATTCCTTTGAAGAATGCTAGGCCTTTAATGTCATTACATTACATGACAGGGAACAAGTGTGATAGTTACTGAGCAGGTTACTTCAAAATAAACATAGATTTCAGSCCCATATGCAAGTCTTGCTGCTATATCTGTAAGGTAAAACAAAAGACAAGACAGTGTAGGCTGCAAAAAAAAAATTACAATAAAATAAAATAAAAGCTGCAGACCATCGTTTGATGGGTTGAAGTAGGCAGAGGAGCTGAGAAAATATGCTCCAAAAGCAGCTCTGAATAGAAAGTCAGATGTGATAGTCTGAGAGGTAATGATGATAAAAAAAAGTGTTTCAAATGCTGACACCAGTTTAATCGCCCACTAATCCCCACCACCACCACCTCCCCAATTATCTCTTTTTTTTGTTCAGGCATGTCACCATGCAGCCCACCTGGGCTCACTACATAATCATTTAGAGCTTAAATTTGGCACAATTTGTCCTCTTTGTTATTATTATCTGCACTATTTCCAGAATGACTGTTGATTATGAACTGATTAGCTTTTAATTATTTAGATGTCTGTCATGATTTGAACCAAATGAAACTGTATTGAATATCTATCTATCTATCTATCTATCTATCTATCTATCTATCTATCTATCTATCTATCTATCTATCTATCTATCTATCTATCTATCTATCTATC